TCTCCCTGCCCCCCTTCCAACCATGTTCCACTCCCTGTATCCTAGAGCCCTGTTGTTTCAAGGTTGTGCATACATCATTATTTACCTCTGTTCCACTTAGCCCATGCACACCTGCCGAATTGTTCTCCCTGTCACTTTTATTCTTCCATTCCCCTCCCCCTTCTTTTGTACTGCCCCCCTCCCTAGCACCCAACTATCCTGTGTCTATTCCCTACCCTGTGCTCCACTTTCCCCTCCCTCCCTTCACCCCACACCCCACATCCTGGTAACTCCATTAAAATTTTTAACTTTTCATTTTGAGATAACTTTAGATTTACTGAAGAAATGCAAGGATAGAACAATGATAGAACAGTGAGTATGCCCTTCACTCAGCTTCCTCTAATGTGAGATAACCAATATTTTGGAAAACCAAAGACATATCAAGAGATCCAGCTTTGGACCCTGTATGGCAGAAACGGGCATTAGGAGTTTTAAACAGCCAAAGCAAACGTTGTTTATAGATAGCAGACAGAGGCAGTGACAAGGTGCCCCAAGTAAGAAAACTTGCAGGTTGAGTTTTAAGTAGACAAAGTCAAATAGCATTATTGGAGTCCAGGCCAGGGAAGAAGGGAATTCCTGCCAAACGCACCACTGATTGGTATTGCTTGGTGGTTTTTCTAACAGCACCGAGTTATGGCCTCTCCAAAAAACTGTAAACTGCTGGGAGGGTCGGGCACTGTTTTGGAAGTCTCTCTCACCTGTCCTCCACCTTTAAGCGAAAAAATCATTAACTAGTCCCTCTCCCTCCGAGTGCGGGGAAAACTGCCCAGACCTGAAAACGCCAAACCGGGTGTCACGTCCAGCGCCACGCAGGGACGCGCTGGCCACTCAGAGGCCGCCTCTGCGCTCCCAAACTGGAGGGGCGGCTCACGATTGGCCAGGCCTTCATCAGTGCCCACCTCCAGGAGGCGGTAGAACAAACGTGTATCTAACCCTGGGTTATCGCCTCCGTGAGCGATCTCCGGATTGGGCGGGAAGCTGGACTCCAGCCGGTTTTCCGCAGATGAGGGCCGGAACGGGAAGGCGCTCCTGAGACGAGGCCGGGCCCGAAGAGTGGACTAGGAAGGTGGCGACCCTTTTGTCTGCTCTCCGCAGTGAAGAGGCGGGGCCGCGACGGTTTCAGCCCCGGAAGCGGAAGTGCGGGTGCCGAGGGGGCCCTGTCTAGTGTGAACGCTGCCGGGGCGTTCGCTGTACCTCCCGCTGGTCACGCTGCGCGCTCTCTCCGGCCTGTGCCCCGTTCGCCGGCCCCATCATGCTGTCTCTAGACTTTTTGGACGATGTGCGACGGATGAACAAGCGGCAGGTGATGTTAGCCATCTTCTATTCCCCCAGGTTCTTGCCCCTTGGACGCTTCTACTGCGGTGCCGGCCGATCTCCGGTCCTTAGTGTGAGGGCCTGAGCAAGTCTCACTGTGGGATCACTCCCTCTCTTTGGAGTTTGATCGTTCCCTATTTTTAGCTCCCAGTTGATTCCAGGCCTGCTAGGGGTGAAGCGGGAGGCGATGTCTTCATGTCCCCTGCTTCCCAAAGAGGAAGGGGCGCAAATGGAGACCGTAGTGTGTTTTGTAGGTGAGAACCGGGATTGCTTATTCTTTTAGGCGTTGAAGGCGAGCAAATTCTTGGATCCTCTCGTCCGAGCGAGGTCCAGTGGATTCTGGAGAGGCTAGGTTTAGCAGTTGACTACTACAACAGCTTTCGGGGAGCTTGGGGAGGTGGTCCTAGCTCCCCCCCCACCAAAGCAGTTTTACTGCTTTCAGCTGGTCGCAGCCCACCTAGCCCAGCTGGACTCCAGCGGACTGCTCCTGCTTCTCCCTGGACCACCTCTGAATTCTGAGTTGGAACATTATACCTGGTGGTTGTTGTGTGCCATCGAGTCAGTTCTGACCCATAATGACCCTGTTTAGGGCTTCCGAGGCTGTAAGGCTTTACCGGAGCAGAAAGTCTCATAGGTCTCTCACAGAGCGGCTGCTAGATTCGAACTGCTGACTTTGCGGTTAGTAGCTTAACTCGCAACCCACTACGCTACCAGGTTGTTTATTGTTGTTAAGTGCCGTTGAGTTTTTCAGAATCAAATGACCCTGTATAGGGTTTCCGAGGCTTTACGTCTTCACGGGAGCAGGCTTGAACTGCGGACCTTGTGGTTTGCAGCCCAGTGCTTATCCTTTGCATCACTTGATCTTTGAGTTGTTAAGTGCCATCAAGTGGTGCCAACTGATAGCGACCATGTGTAGGGTTTCTCCCGCGGAACAGCTGGTGAGTTTGAACCACTGACCTTGCAGTCCAGCACTTTATCCTACAGCGTCACACCAGGACTCCAAGAGTCTTCATGACTATTGTATTAAGTGCCATGAAGTGGTTCGCAGTCCAGTGCTTACCCTATGCATCCCTGAATCTTTGAGTTGTTGCCAAGTGCTGTTGAGTTGCTTCCGACTCCAGGGAGTGGCTGGTGAGTTTGAACCACTGACTTTGCAGTTCAAACTGACCTTGGTCTAATGTTTATCCTAGGACTTTAACTTTTTTAATTTACTTGGATTTCTAGGTACCCCTGCTGTTTCTCTGAAGAAATATTTATTTGGGGGCTATGATTTATTAAAGGAGCTCTGGTAGCATAGTGGTTACAAAATGGGCTATGAACCGCAAGGTCAGCAGTTCGAAACTACCAGCTGTTCCGCGGGAGAAAGATGAGGCTTTCTGCCCCTGTAAAGATTTACAGCCTCGGAAACCCTGTACAGGGTCGCTATGAGTCAGAACCGACTTCACAGCCCATAACAACAACTACAACAATGATTTCTTACATTAAGGACCCCTGGTGATGGCAGTGGTTAAAGGGCCCGGCCATTAACCAGAAAGTCGGCTGTTTGAGCACACCAGTCTCACGTTGGGGGAAAATGTGCCAGTCTGCTTTGGTAGAGATTTACAATCTTAGATTTACAGCAGTCCTCCTCTGTCCTGGAGGGTCTTTATGAATCCAAATCAACTCGATAACAATGAGTTTGGTTTGAATTTATTTAACTGAAGGAGCCATGCTTGGCTGCTAACCGAAAGGTCAGCGTTTCAAACCCACCAACTGTTCTGTGGGAGAAATATATGGCCGTCTGCTTCCGTAAAGATTGTTGTTCAGTGCCGTTCAGGTGGTTCTAACTCATAGCAACCGTAAGACAAGAAAATGAAATACTGCCCGATCCTGAGCCATCCAGGTGTTATGTGTGAGCCCACCGTTGCTGCCTGGCACCATATAAGACACTGTTTGCTGCTACTCATCAGGTTTTCAGTGACTAGCCATTCAGAACTGCTCTGCCTCTTCTTGTTTCTAGTCTGTCTTAGGCTGGAAGCTCCGCTGAAGCCTGTCCACCATGGCTCTCTCTGCTGGTGCTTAAAATACTGGTGGCATAGCTTCCAGCATCACAACACACAAGCCACCACAGTACAACAAAATGACAGATGAGTGGTGGACCATGAAGACTATAGCCTTGGAAGCCCTATGAGGTGGTTCTGTGTGGTCCTTCAGGATTGCTGTGAGTTGGAATTGACTCAGTGGCGGTGTTGTTGTTGTTGTTAAGTGCCGTCAAGTCAGTTCCAACTCATAGTGACCCTGTTTACGGAGGGCTTCTAAGGAGAGACGAGTGAATTTGAATCTCCGACTTTGCAGTTCAGGCTGACCTTGCAGCCCAGTGCATTATCCTGCACTGACACCACAGGACTCCCAATGGCAGTGGACAGGTACTTATTATAGTAAGGAGACCAAGTGGTGCAGTAGTTAAGCACTAGGCAACTAACAAAAAGGTTATGGTTTGAGCTCACCAGTGACTGTCAGGAGAAAAGACCTATTCCACAGTTCTTCTCTGTCTTAGAGGGCCATAGAAGTTGGAATTTACTTGACATCTTACAAGAGTAAGAGCATTGCTTATGCTGAAGTACCTGGGTGGCACGAACAGTGAAGTGCTTGGCTACTAATTGAACTGTGCCAGTCCACCTTACGCACAACAGAAGCCTCTGAAGAAAGGCCTGGTGATATACTTTTAAAAGATCGCGCATTGAAAATCCTGTGGAGTACAGTTCTCCTCTGACACATGTGGGGTCACCGTGAGTCAGAATCGATTCAATAGCAAGTGGTTGTTCTTGTTTGTTTGTTTAAATTATACTAAGTACAATGAGAAGAATGCACAGATAAGACAAACCCTTTGCCTTTAAGGAGCATAGGCAGAAAATGCCAAAGGCAAAGCAGCTTTTGGGGGTTCATGCTATATATGAAGTACATTATATACCTGTAGGGGTCCTGGTGTGACACTGTGGGATAATGCACTGGACTGCAAGGTCGGCAGTTCAGATTCACTGCTGCTCCTCAGAAACCCTGACTCGAAGGCACTTAACAGCAACAATATACCTGTAAGGTAGGTGATGTTTTCACCATATGCAGGTAGACCCATGAGGCTTAGTGAGAAGCAACGCAGTATAAAGGTCAAAAGTATGGACTCTGAAGCTAGACTTCTGAGATCGAAAGCAGCTCTGCTACTTTGTGACTTTGAACAGTTTATTTAGCCTCTCTGCCTACATCACAGGGATTTTGAGAAGGTTAAGCGAGTTAATTCGTGTAAAGTTCTTAGACCAGTGCCTGGCCCATAGTAAGTATTAGCTATGTTGTTTTTAGAGAGGTGTAGTAATTTGCCTAAGATTAGAGATGAACGGCAGAACCGGACTCCAAAGCCTTAACCCTGAGCTGTACTGCCTCACTAGGCTGAAAAAGGATATGACCGATTGTAACAGTGCTAGGGAGGTTATGAGGGGTGCCAAACAGGAAATTAGAACCGACTTCAAGGAAGAACTGACATTTAAGCTTAAGTGTTAAAGCACTTTAATAGTAGCATTATCTTTAGATGGTTAGGGTTTTGAGAATTCAAGATGAAGGGGAAGGAACTCAACCTCTGAGGCCACAGAGATGTACACTGTGCCCTCCCTGCCCTCTGCCTGTAAAGAGTTTACCTATCTGAAAGAGAAACAAAGAAAAAATGTCAGTTACCACAGAAGAGTGTGGTAAAGAGTCTAACAAACTATAGGCAGACAGAACAGAAACAGGAAGATGAAATGAGGAAGTCTCTAAATGCAGTGGTGTTGGTCCGGAGTTCAGTGCATCCATATACACTTTTCACAACATACAAGATACACTAGCATTCGGTTGCTAGGAAATGTATATGGTAAAGTTATCCTTCCACCTCAGGGACAAAGGAAGACCCATGAGGAGCTGGATTGACACAATGGCTGTGACAGTTCTTGCAAAGGAAGCAGCGATTTTGAGGATGGCACAGGAGCGGACAGGGTTGTGTTATGTTGTACATAGGGCTGCTGTGAGTTAGAACCAATATGATGGCACCTAACAATAACACCCTCCCGGGGATTGGGATTGAAAGGGGCTGGATAGCTTGGAAGTATGATGCGGGAGAGTTCTGAGATGAGGTTTTATCTGTACACAATAGCTGAAGAAAGAGACTCACACTGGTCATGGAAACTAAGGCCCGTGGCACTCTAACGTAAGCCCAGGTCTGTGAACCATAATGTCAGAAACTCACCAGTGTCTCCAAGGAAGAAAGATGAGGCCTTCTGCTCCTGTAAAGACTTCCAGCCTTGTAAACCCTCTGTTGTTAAGTGCCATCAAGTCGGTTCCAACTCAAAGCGACCTGTAAAGCGTTTCCAAGGAGTGGCTGATGCTTCAAACCGACCTTGCGATCCAATGCATTATCCGTCAGCAACACCCTTTACAGGCTAAGAACCAACTCTGGCAGTGGGCACTTGGTATAGATACTGAGAAGGAGCCCTGGTGGCGCAGCAGCTGCTAACCAGAAAATTGGCAGACCTGGAGATCTGACGTCATAAAGAGTACTGCTTAGAAAACCCTCTAGGGCAGTTCTTGTCTGTCACATGGAGTCAGCCAGAGAACACTTAACAACATAGATTCTGACAGTTAATCAAATAAAAGAGGGCATATAGAAGTTTGGTATCACTTCTCTAAAAACTGCTGTTATTTGCATAACTTCTACTTAATGCCCAATTACATATCAGTGGCTCTGTAGGATAAGCTATGGACTTAAAACACAGGGCCAGCAGTTCGAGCCCACCAGTTGCTCTGTGGGAGAAAGATGAGACTTTCAGCTCCCACAAAGATTTACAGCCTCGGAAACCCTACACAGGGTCACTGTGAGTTGGAACCAACTCAACAGCACTTAGCAACAACAACGTATCATCAAATTTCTAATTTGTTTGTGTGACTATCGATCAGTTTTTGTTTCTAATCAGTTTTATTGATGAATAT